GAAGAGGCCAGGCCCCTTTGGTGGATCAAATGCTGCCCAGACATATAATCCAGTTCTGTTATGTAGCACAGCAAATGGGAGTGTGATTAAATTGTTAGATTGTGACTAGAGATCCTAGGTTTGATTCCATACCCACCTATGGAAATAAGGCCAGTCACTGCCTCTTAGTCTAAACTATCCCACTTAGTCCACCCTCTTAGTCCAACCTATAAATAGGATGGAGTGCTATTTATGCCTTCTTGAATTCCTGAATGGTATAAAAATCTAACACAGAAGCCACCATTCCTGACACTGGTGCAACAGTACTGTACAGCCAACTCACAGCATTGTGTAAAGAAGTGGTACACTGTGCTTCTCAGCCTTTGCCACTGAATGTTTTTGTGTAAAATGAGGTTTTGCCATGTTGATGCTGTCAGAGCAAACTTTATTGTTGAAGTCAGTGGCTTCCTTGGTTCAGTAAGAACAATTTGGGCTTTATTTTACATATTCTGACTTTACATAAGCAGAAGTTCTGTTATACAGCTTTACAAGCATGGATCTTTCAAATGTAAAGACCCCTATGCATTGACATATCTTCAAAGAAGACCTTGTCTCAAATTCAGTGCAATAAATTATCAGTTGAAATGAACAGACTATAAGACAATTATGGCCTTTAGTCTGTACTATTTGTCTGTCACTTCTTGGGAGTATCCATGTAGTTACTTCTTTTTCCCCTCTGGCTAGTCGTAGTTCAGTAAAATCATTGAAACTCCTGAGCCACAATATCAAAAGCATCTCTGTTAGGTGTTCAGAATTTTTCTTTCCCTTTTGACAAGGGGAAAAGTAAAATGCTCCATTTCATTTGTAAAATGATGGATTTCGTGTTTATGTAGTGTCTTCATCACTACAGGATAAATTCCAATAACCACAGTGGAAAAAAAAATGTAATCCTGAGAATTCAGTCTGTCCCAGCACAAAATAAAAAAGAGTGCTGTCAAGGAAAATTTAAATTAAAATCTTCTTTTAAGAGTGAGGTTACATAAAAATGCAATATACTTTTAACTCTTGCTTATCTGAATTCACGTTGGAGTCCACCTCATTCCAAACAAAGTTGAATGAATGATGACATGGAAACGGAAGAGATGAAAGCTAAGGGAGAAGGCCTTTCTAAATGAAAATGTAACTGCTTTGAAGGATTACCCGCCCCAACCCTGCCCTGGTGCTGGACCATGCCCTGAAACAACTACATTGGCTGTCCCTGTATTTCTGAGTTGGTCTATATTATGAAATAATAAATGGCGTAGCACAAGACCAGGATATCTTGAGGAACGTTTCTCAAGATCTGCTCAATTTATGCAGACTGTGAAATCCATGAAGGAAACATCCCCCAAGTCAGATTGGTCTTCGTCAGTGTCTTTGGAATTCAGTCCCACGTTCTGGTTGTTGGTAAATTTCCCTTCTGCATAGCAGTTCTGTAAGCTTGAAAAATTGCTCTGCCCTGGGAAGTCAGCCCATGCTTTTTCAGTTGATTATTGTTTTACCTCTCTTAATTGAGACCATGTTTTAATGTTTGGTTTTTAAACTGTGTTGTGGAACTGTTGTATATGCCACCTGGAAGCAGTACTTCAAAAGCAGCCTTGTAATACTGTAAGTAAATAGAATAAAAGTAGAGAATTGTAATACGTATCTTTGTTGTAGATAGAAATGTGTTGTATAGCATTTGTGATGGTGGGAATTGTGATTTTCATGCACTTGTTTGCAGAGTGCCTGTTTCACTGTACAAAAGTTAAATTAGAAAGAATGCAATCCATGAGTTAAATAGATATGTCAGCACTATAATTTTTTCCAGAGCATTTTAAAATATTACTTATAAAGGAAACAAGTTTTTCTTTGAATTTTAAGTCAATGATACGTTGCTATCCAAAACAGTCATATTAGAGGGACCCCATATGTATACACACATTGCTAAAACAGTAGAATTTGTTACAATGGCACCTCTGTTCGATTGAAAAGTTCTGTTTGAGTAAGGAAAAAGGGGTTAAAATATAGGGTTGTTAGTCATTAAATTGCTTGAATTTGCTGCATAATCTTAATCTTGGTACTGAATAATGAAAGAAATTACAGACTGGGTGGTTTTGTTGGTAATGTTTTTCCAATGTAATTGGTTGTTGACCAAACAAAGGACATTTTTGTAGTGGCAGACATAATGATAGAACTGGAGGAATAAGTGCTTATAGAAGGCCATTGAAAAATTAAACAATATCTTTGTCTGAGGTAAATTCTACAACAAATACAAAGGAACAGCTGATGAGAGGAAACATTAGGTCTATAAGCTTATTTGGATTTGTAGACTTGCTTGAATCCAGAAAAGAGTCATGAATTCAATTAATTCTAAAATATGGTACTTTCATTATTCTGAATTATTTCTTAAAGCAGCTTGGTGCTCTGTTACATGTACATCTTATACTTAGAGGGAAAACACCCTGTTACAACTGGGCTACATAATATGAAATAGCCCTGAGTGATTTAGTATAACAGATGTGTTTCTTTGGGAATTTCACAGCAGTCTGTTTAAAGTAAGAAGAAAACCTCCTGTGTTACCGTTTCTTAATGTTTTTTCCCAGGTAGAAATTGCTATAGCACAGAGCATCTTCAGGCCAATCTAGCATGAAATTCAGTGTAATGCAAAAAATTAGATGTTTGTGTGCAATTTCATCATTTCAACCATCTCAAAGAAACAGTTTCATTTTAAAAAGTGTGATGTCCTTGCATATCATAACATCTATAGAGTTGCAAAACAACTAAGATCTTGTGATTCTGAACAGAAAGCAGTCTTAGCATTCTGTATCCCTGGAAGCAAACTATTGCTGCTTAATTACCAGATCAGGATCTATAACACTACCTCAGCTTAGAAGAAAATGGCATTATTCATTGATGTTAAACCTCTTCAAGGTAGAATTCCTAAAAGATGCCAAAAATGCTGGGTGCACTGTTATGCTTAGAAGCAACTAGAAATCAATTAGGGTGTTTCAGCAAGTGGGGGAGTCGGTGGGTGGGCTGATTCATTCTGGGTATAGCATTCTGGGCCAAGTATAATTTCCAGATAATCTTCAAGGGCTACCCCAGAAAGGTTGCAATGCTACAGTGCATCTTTGAGATAGCCACAGTGAATGAGTGAAAAAGTCCTCCCTCTTCCAGATTAGAGTGCAAAAGATTAATAAGCTTTTATCATGACTACCATGGTGATGTTATGTGGCTGCCCAGTACTAATGCTGGATCCAGGAAAACTCTCAGACTACACATCTGATTTTTAAAAGGAAGTGCAACAGAATCTAAAACAGCGTTTTATCTCCCAAATCTTAAAATTCAGTTCTTAGAAGAAATAATAACTCCATGTTTTCTGAATTTAACTGCAGCTTGTTCTCCCTTATCCAGCACTTTACAGGTTGGAAATAGACTCTGGAGATACCAATACTGAGCTTGTAGGAAACGAGAAGTACTGTATAGCTGAATATCACCAGTATAATGAGAAATATAACTGAATATCATCAGTATATTGATAGCAGATTGTTGCTGATACATGCTGGATAATTAAGAAATAATAATAATAGTCAATATGTGCTTTGTTGATTATAGAAAGGCTTTTAATTGTGTCAACCATGTCAAGATGTGGAAGGTGCTTAGGTAAATGGGAATCTTATTGTCCTGTCATTCTAACATTTTCTAGAATGCAAAGCAGACCTCCCCCCCCCCCCCCCCCCGGCCTTCCAAAAATGGCTGGAATGAGCTGTGTATGACTCAAGAGATCTGCTACAAATTAGAATAGACCAGATGTTGAATCCCCAGAGATTATGGGAAGTTATAGTCCAACATATCTAAAGAGCACCAGACCAGAGAAGGCTACCGTAATAAATAATATACTATATTATCTCTTATAATATATAATAATTATATATTTGATTGGAATGAATTTTTTGTGCTTTGCTTTATTTACTTTCTTGGGTTCCACATTTTAGAATTGGGTTTTTTTGTTTGTTTAATAAAAAAGCAATTTTTTAACTGAAGCTTTTCAGTTCATATTCTGTCATGTTATTATTAGTCTCCTCATTTCAAGTTCTAGAACAGCAGGATGAAAAATAAGGCAGAAATGTTTGTAAATCCTTATTAATTTAACAAATGATAGATTATAGTCTGAAGTCAAAATACTGCTTTGTCAGTCTAAATTGATTTGAACCTGAATAAAGAGAGGAGATTATTGGAGATTTCCCATATAAACTGCACAGAATATCTCCAAGGAATTATGGTTATGAACATAATGGGCTGCTTAATCTCTTCAAGGGAGCACTACCTGAACAGGAGGTGTTTCTAGATTAATTACAATGAGCTAATTCATATACTATTATTGTTATATTTAGTTCTGAATATCCTAGGTTCCAAAGGCTACAGCACTTTCTATAGTAAAACATTCAAGGCACATTAACAAATGATTAAAAAAAAAAATTATGGGAGGACAACATAATTATATGGAAGTAAGAAAAGGAACTGCCCTAAGGAAGGGGAGAAAATGCAAAAGGCAAAATATAGAAACCATTTTCCTTCCAACAAATGCCCAGTACAACAAGCTTAAAACAATTTCAGAAAGGGAATGAATAGCCCACAGTTTTCAAGTTTGATGGTCAACTCCAAAAACTGTTTTAGATTAGAATGTCTTTGAGGTATTTTGTTTTCATAAATCATAAACTTGCAGGATTAGTTTTCAGTGACATAGAAGATGAGCCAGTTGCTCTGTTACCAGAAAGCTGAGGAGTGCCATAGACATGCTGTGGAGCAGTCACTCTGCAGAAGGAATATAAGCTGAAGCTTTCCTTTCTGGCTTGGAGCCACAGCAGTATAACGCCTTCCTCCTCTTGGCATATCATGTAACAAGTGCTGAGGAACCTTCTGTATGATCTCCCTCATGCCTAATCCAACTGAAGCTGTCTTCTTCACTTTGGCTGTTGGCTTGCTTGTTTGTTTTGCAGCGACTGACCTTGAGACACGTGAACAGTAACCAGTGTCTTGACGAGCCCTCAGAGGATGACAAAATGGTTCCCACCATGAAGGACTGCAGTGAAAGCCGATCCCAGCAGTGGCTGTTACGTAACATGACCTTGGGTGCCTAAAGCCAAGACAGACTTCATGTCCTTCCTCAGGCCTTGGAAGGGTCTAAACTGCTCACGCTTCACACAAAAGGATGTTCTTCTTCCCTTGTCAGTGAAGAGAAAGGGTTTGGATGCTTAATTAAAAGCCCACATGCCAGAAAACAACTTTTTTTATTGCTTCAAAGCATGGTTGCACTTTTTTTTCCCCTCTGATTTTTTTTTACAAGTCAGCTGAACACATGGATGCTTTATCCACCCTGGCATATACAGTATTCTGAGGACATACCAGTTTTGAGAAAAGCAGACTCCAGAAAAGCATTACAAAGCGAAATTCCAAGGGGGTGGGAAGTGGCTTGCTATGGGTTCTGTCCTGTAATGTTGCTTGAAAGTGACACTGTTAAATGCCTTATGAAGCTCACTTGCATTGTGAAAGATGGCAACATTTGTTTTCCTCCGTTGATGTGTTTGTACCAGTCCATGGTGACAGAGGAAGAATCTGTTGTTAATCTGCTGCCAACTATCACCTATGAATAGCCCAGCTGAAAAGATTTCTCAGCAGTAAATTTCTGTATATATTGGATGTTTTTCATGTATAGTGTCAGGAAAAAAGTGGCATTTCTGTTCCTGAAACCTCTGTTAAAATCCACAGAACTGGATGAAGGATATGCTGGCATGTGGAATGTAAAATTGAATTCACGGCCAAGGGGAGCATGAGGAAATGGGATTGATGATACCCACTGATGCCGTTTGCAAAAGATAAGTCATTACAAGCATTGCAACTCACTTGGCGAATTCCCATAATCTCCCATTAATGACTAATATAAAAGACAGCAAGCATAGTTTATCCAAATCACACAAGATACTGATAGAAGAACAGGTTATGAGTAGACACAGCCTGATTTCAAGTTGAGTTTGGTTGCAGTAGCTACCCCTTTTTGTCCTATCAAATGTGTTTGTTTTCTAAAAGATTATTCTTAGTCTATAGGCGTACATAATAGATCAACAATACCAATAGATCTTACCTGAAAATGTCAACAGTGCAACCCCTTAATAAGTCTTCAAAACATAGCAAGTTGAACCTTTAGCATATGACCGCACTGAGTTCAGGACTAATTAAAAAACATGTCTAATAAGCTTGTCTGCTTTGTAGATATAGGACATGCGATAAGACATAACTATCTCTATAAACAGTATTTTTTTAAAAAAAAAAAGAGAGGGTTTTTTATCACATATCTCTGTGCCAGTGTGTAAGTAGGAACAATCTTTATCCAACATTGGAATCTTGTGAGCATTATTGGGTCAGGAAGAAAATAAAATGTATTTATTTTTAGTTGGATTTAATTTGATGCAGTTTGTATTGTCAGCCCCATGGCCATGCCAAAGTTTCTGTGAATTATGCTGTAATAAGTAGTATGAATTGATCAGTTCCCTACTGCAATACTGAGAGATTGAACTGAACTCTTTCAAGTTTCAGTCTGGCATATCGAGAAAATGAGATGGCTCTTCCTGTGGATGAGACTCACTACGTGATACTGTCTTTGTGTTATTATCACCCATTTGTTGATTTTGAATATGCTCATTTCTCTGCTTTTTCTGTCCCAGAAGAGTTCTTCACAGCGGCCATGTAAGTATGCTAGGAGAGTCTGCTATCAGAGCTCAAGCAGGATCAGAAGCAAAAGAACGTAAAAATATCAGCCTGGAATCCAAGTCAAAGAGCCAGTGGGGCTGAGGCAAACAGCATTCCCTGAAGAAGAGAGATTATCTGGTTGATAAAGTCAGGCAAACCGAAGATATATTCAGAAATAAGCTGATGCTGGCCAGATCCTTAGCAAGTAATGCAGCCGCATGGTCCAGTTTGAAGCGTTATTGCTTATATAGGTCCATAACATTCAAGGTCTCCAGGTGGTTCTTGGACAGGCTGTCTGTGGTGTCTACTTTGTCCTTGTTTGCTGGGAAGCAGCAAAGTTTAGGTCATCCTGCAGGTTACCTTTTTGATACTCACCAGCCAAACTGACTGATAAGAGTTTGCTATGGCAGTGGGCCTTGTTCTGGAGAAGGAGGTGTTTCTGTTCTCCCCCCACAGGTTTTAACCACAATTTGAGGAACAGCAAGCCTCTTTTGCATCTTATGGCAATTCTAGCAGCCAGTGACCTCTGGAGGATCAGTACCATTCAGGGATCATACTGCTCCAAACCCATCAAGTAAATGCTTCTGTTCAAGCTGCTGTAAGTGCAAGCTTAAGTACATGGGGATGACTTCTTTTTGAATAAGAACATAAAAAGGAACTTAATCCAGTATAAGGCCATTATGGGAATAAGTCCCATAAATACAAATTATTCCTGAGGAAATGTGGCTTGTGCTAAACAGTGAGGAATGTTGCAAACTGCAAAGTTCTTTGAAGCTAATGATCTTATTTTTAATCATTTAAGAGGTGGTTCCAATATAAGCAATGCTTTTTCTTAAGGCATTAATAGTATGACATTAAAAAGTAATAAAAGCATTTGCTTCCCTCAAATGATATTGCTACGAACAGAAATCTTCAAAAAGATGGGTAGGAAGGGAGTCTCTGAAAATTTATATGCAAAGTTTGAGAGGAGCGATGGAACCATCAGGCTATCACTTCTCCAATTCCCAGAATTCCAAGAAGGCTTAGTAGGAATTTTAGGAGTTGAATCCCAACACAGTTCAACCCTGTGCTTAGGGGAAGCAGCAGCAGGCGGAGGAAGGTAGAATGGGTACAAGCAGAATCAAGACGTAGGTTCTACGTGCACTACCACTGCTGCTAATTCCAATAAAATGCCCCCACAGAGCACCTCATGGACCTCTACATTCAATATCTACTCCATCCCATCTTTTTAGTGAGCAAAAAACAGAGGACGTGGGAGTATTGCCCCAGCATTGCCATTATATTCCTATATGGTCTTGGCAAACTGTTAAGCCTAAAATCAAAGTTTCAATGAATAGTTTTAAAAGATTGTACATTAACTTGTGATGTCCTCTCTCTCTGTTCTGTAGATCAATAAAATATGTGCTGTTCCTCATTTGAATGGCACTGATTACTCACTTTTTAAAGTCACTTTATAATATCAACAGTTGAGTTCAAATTTAAACATTTTTTTTGAAAACTTAATGTCAATTTGGCTTTTCTTTCCCTGTGTGTAGAGTAGAAACGATGTCCTAACTTCATAGGAATGTGCTGAGGGACAAATATAATAAATATGAAAAATGATTGAGGTATAAATATCTAAAAACAAGAACAGTATTATAAAAAAGGTAAAGCTTAAGGAATTTCTTGAAGAAGGAAAGATAGGTATATAAAGTTTGAATTAATGGGAATAAGTTCTTTTTGTCTTCGGAGGCTGCTTCTGGACTGTTGAATCCAAGAACAGTATTTTTATCTAATAACAGACAAGTAAAATAGCCTTTTAAAAGGTGATTAGTACTGTACTGATAATCAATATAGTCCAGTTTTTTTACTTGAAATTAATGAGATCATATCTGATCATATAAACTTTAGTTGCATCTCATTTGTAGATGCTAAATACAGTCTCAAATGAGGCATATACTAGTGAGGGTGATTTAGTGTAAAGCTATGAGTGAGGCTGAAATGGTTTTGGGAAGAAATTTCAAATAAATTTTATAATGCTATTGTCTTCTGGGTCCTTCTGCAACATTATGAACTGGATAAACTGAAACATATTTACAATTTCAATAGGAAATCAGAATTGTAATTAACTGTTGTGATAGCGACATCTTGAGAATTTAAACTCTGTGTTCCACTAACCATTACACATTTGTGTGTGTGCGTGCACACACACACATATTTCCATGTGTGGAATAAACTAAAAAGTATGCTGCTATTACTGTATGAATGCATCTGGTGAGATTCCACCACACTAAACTGCTACTAAATATAAGCTATTGTTTCATCTCAAGATGCTGACTGCACATCAGCAAAATGTTTTATATGAGGTTATGTGAATTATTCATGTGAAAATGTTTTCAAACACTGAGAGATCCTTCTGAAGCCCCCCTTTCATTGTTCCAAATATACTGAATTCGCCATTTGTCCCTTGAATGTTCAGGATAGCCATGTAAATCAGTTTCTTTGTAAACTGGGCCACTGGTGTTCCCTACCCATCTAGGCCTTGCATACATCACATGGCAGCAAATCCACGTTTGGCCCAAGTATGTGGACCGAGGGATTTATAGCCAATCCCACCTTCTGATGGTATGCTTCTGTGATGTGCAAAATTTCAAAATTGATCACAACCCTGCATCTTTAAGTGCATCTGAAGCATTACACCCGAAAGGCATAATATGCAAAGAGGTCCTTTAAAATGGCCACTGTGGGTTTTTTAATGTGCTTGGTCACCCATCTTAGAGGGAGCGTCCATTGGAAGAATTGCTCTTAAAACTTCTGACAGTGCGTGCTTGGGACACAATACGTGTTACAATTATAAGAGTGGGCTGTGGTTCAAGAATTACGCAATTGCAAATGTAACAGTTATTAAATGTTAACTCTGCTGTAAATTTTCAATATTTATACATTTTGTAGAAATAAAATATGCCAGTTTAGTTTTCTTCTACTGGGTGTTGTCATTCTTAAGTTTTGCTCCCTGTCTCAGTGTACAATAAGAACTTTAGATCAGTGTTTCCCCAGCATGCTGGCTGGAGAAGTCTGGAACTTGGAGTCCACACATCTTAAAGTTGCTGAGGTTGAGAAGCACTGGTCTATACCCCCATATGTATGTGTGTAAATTTACTGTTAATGGGCAAAAGAAATCCCAGTTGCATAATTTAGCATTATCTGTATATACTTTGTGTGTGTATGCAGACAGTACCATAAATACATTGAGTGGGTCCTGCTGCCATATATTTTCAGAGTACGCATATGTGAAATCTATTTAAAGAGATTAAATACTATTCAAATACTATGTAAATCAAGACTATTTGCAGAGATGATAATCATTGCATTGCAATGACAAAAGCTTGCACCTTAATAAAACTCTCTCTTTTTTTTTCTCACTTTTCTATTAGATATTCCTTCTTGCATCCCATGGCTAGCAGACATAAAAAATAAAATATCAGGCTTATATTGCCATAATTCTGTGGGTTGTAGCTGTGATGTTTAGTTAAAATGTTACTTAAATTATCATAGAGACACAGATTTGAAAGGGGCATCTAGATCAACTCCACTGTCCGTGTAAGAATCCAAATTAAAGCAACCATGACAAATGGCTGGAATGGAGAACATATCTCGATCTTGTTTTGTATGACATCCTTTGAGGCATTTGAAGAGTGCTTTGTTTTTCTCTCAAATTACTTTTTTCCAGGCTAGACATTCTCAGTTCCTTCAGTTCTCTTTGATCCCCTGATAATCTTACTGCCTTTCTCTGAACCTATTTAGTTTCTCTGAATGTGTCTTAACGTTTGGTGTCTAGAACTGGTTACTATATTCAAGGTAGGGGTGTGGCCAACACAGAAGAGAGGGGAATGGTTGCATCCCATGATTTAGAATCTATGTTTTAGTTGATGCAGCCTAAAGATAAATTGGCTTTTTTGCAGCCATATTACACTGCTAACTCATATTTAGATTGCTTCTCTTTCAATATTGTTTTCAAATGTACTTATAGATATGAAACCGTTTCCAGATGTAATAATGTTTTCATTATTACCCAGCCAGGTATCCCACATCCTATCCTCAAGCATTTGATTTTTGTTCTCTAAGTGAAAAAGAGAGAAAAAAACTTGTCCCTGTTAAATTCCCTTATTGTTTTCAACCATTTTATTTAACTTACCAAGATTTGTTGGAGTTGTACTTCTGTCTTCCAGGGCATTATCTATCCTGCCTAGTTTTGTGTCATATGAAAATCTGGTAAGCACTCCATTCTGTTATTCATCCAAAGCAATAATAAACTCTGGAGAAGCAAAGGATCCCAGACTGATCTTGTGGCATTCCAGTCAACGCTTCTCTCCTGTCTCATTTAGCATGTTTTTTTTAAGCCAGGTAAGCATCCACTTGTCATCCAGCCCATAGTGAGCCATCTTGATTAACAGAATGCAGTTGAATACATTATCAAATGTGCTTCTGAAACCAAGGTATGCAATCCCATAAAATGCTGAAGAAGTTACCTAATTTTTTTTTAAAAATGAGATAAGTTTAGCCTAATGTGATTTGTTCTTGAAAATCCATGCTGATTTGTCCTACAATTATGACATAGTTTTCAAGAGGCTTATGGAGTAATTACTTTATGATCTGTAGGTTCTTCACAGGCACCAGTGACATTGGTCTGGAGTTCCCTAGAACAACCACCTTTTTTTTTTTTTTTTTTAGTCGATAAGGACATTTGCCCTCCTTCCATAATCTGGCAGTGATGTGATAAATTGTGGGAAAGCTAGGGGCAAATTGGTTGAATGATTATCTCAAAGTGGCAACTCAACCCAAGTGGTAAGAGATATTTAGTCCCCAGACTAGCATTAAAGAGAACTTTCTGAATTTGCTTCCTTGGTCTTGCCAGCTACTGTTTGTGGGGCTTGACCCCTTCATTCCCAAGTACTTTTCAAACATACTATATACAATAAAGGTTTGGCTAGATCAACAGCAAGTTCCTTAAGTGCTCTGAGGTCCTTATATTCTGGACAGATCTGAGGAAGCCCTTTTGGGTGGCTGTATCATCATTGGTCAAGGTCAATATTTCTAAGCTTTCACTTTCCTGATAGCCTTGTACAATTCTGGGCTATTAGTATGTACTCTTCTTGGGTCTCCTGTTCCTTTTTCCACCACTGACTTGTTATTTTATGTCTTCACTAAGCTTACTAGTTATTTTGTGTAGCTACATTGGCTTCTTATGCTCTTTGCCATTTCTCTCCTCATTGGAATTGTTTATAATAGTGCTTTTAATAGTGCTTTAAAGAACTCCCAGCCATATGCTGAATCTTTTATCTATATTGTACCTTTCAGCTCCAAGGTTCTAATATTGGGACTCATCCATCAAGTCCCTATAATGCATATTTTTTAATTATAATGCATGTTTTTTAATTATTTATAGATTGTAGCTATAAATAAATAAATAAATAAATGTTTGTTTTCCTGTACTATGAGCGCAAGCTCATCTCCTTTGTTTTTCATACTCTGAGCATTAGATGTTGAGTTTTTTTCCATTCCTCCATTGAGTGTTCCCATTACAACAATTCTCACTTCCTCCTATACGGTAGAAGTCTTCATCTAAGCTCTTTATTTCAGCTTTATTTTCTTCTCCAACCCCCACACATTTCACTTTAAAGCCCTTACCAAGCTTCGCCCACATAGAGATTTCCAGCCCTTGTAAGGTAAAACCATCCTGTACCAGCTGTTACCATCCTGACAATACAGACCATAGTCTCAAAAAAGCAAATTTCTCCTGTAAACACAATTTGCACAGCTAGATGGTGTTTTCAAGAGTTGAGAATGCCAGCCGAACTCCCTGATTACTGGTGATATGGTTCTAGTCTATGTGTTTTTTACAGCATCTTCTCCACATGAATTAGCAGGAAAAGAAGATTGATCCCTCGAAACATACAGCTTCTTTGGTTTCTTTTGTCTCTTCCTCCTCTTGTATTCCAGTGGCAAACTCCTGTTTCCTTTCCAAATATGATCTCAGTTTCCTTACTCAAATTATCTATAAAATGGAAGGTGCAATTATTTTCTTAGGCCTTTTGGAAAACCTTTTCAATGAATAATCCCTCTGTGTGTGTGTGTGTGTCTGTGTGTATAGATACAGACTGTGCAAAATGTTGAGGGGAGACATATTCTTAGAAAGACATATAGTTTTGTTTTCATTTGTAAAGAGCCATGGTTTTATAAAACTCGATAGTTTTAAAAAACCATAATCATAATGGTTGTTTATGATATTCTTCATCTACAGATTTGAAACAATACTCTCTGATTACATAAAAATAGGAAATTGGTCACATTTCCATGCTTGAAATCAACAACTACTCAAATATCAGTTCAATAGCTAGCATTTTTAAGGGGGGAAACTTTTTAAAGATTCTACTTTGAATTATTTCTGCTATGTGAAAGAGAAAGGAAAAGAGAAGGTTAGAGAAATCAAATAGTGCATAAACAGTGTGTAAATTTAATATATCTTTATGGTCAAAGAATGAGTCTGCTGCCACATTTATAAACAAAAGAATATGTACTGCAATAAGTAATTATAAGTTCCAGTGAGTTTATTCTACAATGTAAGAATAAGCAATAAACAAAGATGTCCCTTTTTTGGAACCCTGGGCCTGAGCTCTGCACATGGAAAGGGACCTTATCCAAAGGATGGTTCAGTGTTTTAATACTCTTCATTCAAAGCCATTAAACTAATCAAATCTAATCTCAAGTGTTACTATTTTAGAATTTTGTGTTTCCCATTTTCTGAACTATTACTGATCATGGATAAGAAGAAATAACAAGGAAGAAAATCATTCTGATATAGGATGGTTTGGGAAGAAAGTACTGAAGTAAACATTCTGTTATTGGGTTTCTCCTGATTCTTAAAAAGTTTACATGCATTATTTTCAAGAGTTGTGTTTATTTAGGACTGCCTGTAGAAAATGTACAGTAGACCACCTGTTCAAAGCCCATAGCAAGTAGAGGTCTAGTCATGCCATGACTTCTCCCTTTTCTTCTGATGTTCTGTGTTTGCTAGAAATCTTCAGATTTGGGAATGGTTACGATATGATATTTTGTCTTTGTGTGTGGGTGGGTGGAAGGATTTAGAAATTTATGAAATTCAACAAATATTTTTGGTGATCAAATATACTTTGTATTGCACTAGGATCCTTTAGGATCAAATCCAGAATGATTGAAAACAGGTGAACTTCTGAACTTGCCTAAAGGATTGCACACATGCAAGGAAACTTTTGCCTTTGTTTCTTTTAAAAAAAAATCACACACACAACCCATATTTTTTTTGTCACATGGTAAATCTTTTGAAGGAGATGGAAATTCCTGAAGCAGAAACTATATGTTATCTGTCTTGGCATCTGATTTTGAAAGTATACATGACCTTTTGATCATAATCCTATTAATTTCCTGTTTTCTAATTTAATTGCATAATTGCCAACTGTGCTTAAGAAGCCTATTTGCTATCAAATTATTTAACTGGATTTGCAGTCTTGACTCTTCAGCTATTCAGAGGGAGAATTTCTTGACTGTAGCTCAATCATTTCAGTTTTGAAAAACACAAATTATTTATTATGCATGATAAAAAGCTGTTAACTTCTAGATTTATTTGTGATGAGCTAAGTTTTATATTCAGTACTTTTTACATGAATGAGATTGAAAGGTGATTTGAATCACGACATTGACAATTAGCATGCTTGGAAAGAAGCAATTAGCTAGAGAGATCCTGTTAATTATAGCATGAATATAATTTGATGACTCAGAAAATAATGTAGTAATGAATGAAGTAACTTTTTTTCTGTGTGATTATGAAAATGTACAGTATTTAATGTCTATCATGGTTTTAAATTGTCAGAATTCCAATTTGATTTAATCTTAAGGAACACAAACTAATGTTTTGCCTTTCAACTG